AGTCAAGTTCATGGCCACAAAAACAAATCATATATATCATCTTATAATTTTATCCAAAATAAAGTATAACTAAATAATGTCTATTAAAGCTTCGACAAAATACTTTCTTTTTGGCAATTATAAAGAATTTATCAAGAGATCATCATCACATGCAACACATCATATTCTAAACATTATTGAGAGGATGGTCACCGAGACCAAGTTCCATCAGAACACTTCCTTTGTGCTTACATATTTGAATGAGTCACACCCATCTCTCATGTTTCATCCTTAGGGCTCAAAGCCCTTTGATCAAATCACATCTCCATGTGTATCACTACATTAAGTAGTTCATACTCAAGCACAAGAAGGCACAAAAAACACAAGGTATTTAAAATCGGTACTTTCAAATTTGTTAGCACTTATCACTTAATATCCATACACTCTATATATATTCATAAAACAATTAGCCAAAATATAACCAAAGCACATTAAACAAAGTTATTGAATCATCTTTCCTTATATGACCGTACCATATAATGTGGAATAGATTTCATACCTCAAAACCATATAATGTTGTACCTGGGCTTTCTTGATTCATCTTTTACTTGTTTGACAAGCTTTTGTGATCTTGGAAGTGCACGCAATTGATAGAGAATATATTAGTTATTGGTTTCACATGTCACGAAGTGTCTATATCTTCGGCACTTGGATTCTCCTGTCTTACACTGTGAAGAAAATATCTTCTTCATCCAATTATTTCAAATATCACAATTGTGATTCTCTCACTGATCTTTAGCGTTTCTATGTTACCACCAAATCTCTCTATATATCCCTTCGTTTCGAAGAAACCAAGATGTTTTTATAGGTATTGTATTTCTTCTTCTTTCTGTTATTTTCAGATTGAATACTCTTCACATAGAGTCTCTTATCTTGCTAAATCTGCAGTATATCTCTCTGAAGTTGTACTATAACAAATCATACTCATGGCACACTATAAAACCTTTTAAAATGAGTCTTAAAGGTCTCCATAATTGAAAATTCAACGATGTGCCTTAACATGCCATATCTTTTAATTTACTGCAGCATAGAACATGAGCATCACATGATAAAAATATGACATATATCAACTCATAAAAAAATTTATCTTCGAATCATTTTGAGTATTGAAATAGACTAAAATATAAAATAGTGATCAGTTCCATTCTAAAATCATACCATAGAGTGAGTCTTCGTTTCAGTGACATTTAGGTCACAATGCAATTTTCTCAGTAGAAAATCAGATTGAGCACATCTCAATTAAAAAATTGTTTCTCTCAATTTTCAAAGAATTTCTTCTTAAAATATTTTGTGTTGGAAATTAGACTCAAAACCAAATCATAACATCATAGTTTGAATCCCAAATAATACTTTTCTTCAGAGAAAATAAATAAGTGACATTCACCTCACACAATAAATTATACTGCAGAATTCCATGATGAACACTATCGAGTAAAATTGTCTTTTCTCTCTACCATCATGGAGTTTCTCTTTCAAACCAATTTTGTATGAAATTAGACACATAATAGTAACACATATATTTTCACAAGCCTATATCACTATGTTAAGTAGGCTTGATAAATATAGATATTCATGTCTTCAATGAAGATCATACCAAATTGTAAAAAATTCAGGATGACCTCTCTTCAATCCAAAATTTTTATTCCTCTCTTCCCATAGATATTTCTCTTTCAAATAAATTTTATTATAAAATAGACTCAGATTGGAAGTCTAAAAGTTAGTGTGGATTATAAAACATTGTGTTAAGTATAGAAATAAAATCATGACTTCTAAGTCATGAAAATAGTTTTTGTTTTAGAAAACAGTACTTACGCACCCTTTAATAAATTGATCATATCTTTTAAACCACGGAGAATTTCTTGATGAAACATTTTTTGCTTAAAAGTAGACTCAATTTTGTAGTTACATTAAATTTTAGTAAGAAATAAAATCATATGATTGGTGGGAAAAATCACTGAATTCAATGGACAGTTCCTGAATTTTGCATAGTCAAAACTGACACCCTTCATTGTTGAGTCCATAACTCTCAATTCCTATAGGATCTCCCACTAAAATTTTGCAGGTAGATCATACTTTTAAATACACAAAATATCACTGAAGTATGTAATAGAAAAATACCTCATTATATTTTTCATATCACTACTCCAAAATAGCCCAGAATACTCATTATGCAGAGTGCCTTTTTGGTGTTAGAATATTTCAATAATTCTTAACTGTGGGTGTATTTCTTGACCACAAAGGTCATTAGATTTCTTATATCTCATTCCCAAGCTTCATCTAAACTCAATAAAGAGAAAACACAACTAATGGCATCAAGTATCAATAGCTTTGATACCAATGAAAAAAAAACTTATATGATCTCTTATCAAGGAATAGAAATTTTTTTTTTCCCCTTTCTTTTTGGCAAAAGATCACTTATAGGTGGTCTTTATTATAATAAGATAAATTTCAAACTAAAATCAACATAACAATAAAACCAAGATCTTATCAACTTGATGCCATTGAAACGACTATGTACTATGCTTGAGAATAAAAAATAAGATTGCAAGAAACAAAAGGAAGAGTGCCGGAGATTACCTCAACCGGGCTTATTACACCCCACACCGAGTCACCACCATCCGATAGAGCGGGATCAGCGGTTTAGCTTCAATCTAGAACCGGAAAAGCAAATTTCAGCCAAGCCGCACCAATGAAACATGAACCATTTGATCACAAACTCAAACCCTAGGTGAATTCTCTTAGCAACCTAGTTTGAGAAAGATAGATTCTCTTTTGCTAAACCCTAAAACCCTTAGTCGTAAATCCATATTTGAGAGATAGGAGAGAAGAATTTCATAACCTAAACCCTTAGGTTCTTTCACAATGTGGGAGAGAAAGATCAAACATGAGAGAGATAAACTTTCTTAAGAGAAAGAAGTAGAAAAATAATGTGTAGAGATTTTTTGGTAGAGACAATCCATTTTTATAGACTTTGAATAAGATTAGGGTTTCTTAGGGTTTTCTTTGGCTTGCCTCTTCTTGTGAGATTGAACATAAACTGTCGATCAAGGGTGACTTGTGGGGTGAAAGATCTGAGCCATCATTTCCATAGATGGGCCGTCAACATTATAAAAGATGCATGAACCATTATCCCCCTATTCTAAACCATTTTTACATCAATATATTTAAATAAAATAAATATCATGAATTCTATAAAATTGCACAATCTATGTTACATATTTCATATGGATATGTTAAATAATATCAAATAGATAAATACTACCAAATATAAATAAGATAAGATCCATATCAATTCAAATTGACCATATATCTTTAAAACAAACTTGCTACAAAATAGATAAAGCCATGGTCAATATATCCCTTCCAAGATTTGACCACATGCCACAAATCAAACTAACATTATCTTAAAAGCAAACAAGAGAATCCAAAAAGGGTGGGGCGTGTCACCCTTTGTGGCACATGTGGGCCCCCACCCACATGCCACATGGTGGGCCCATGTGCACTATATGCCCCCATGGAATATTATAAATAAAAAAAATATTATTTAAAATTGAATAAAACAATTTAAAATATATATTTGAATTTTTATAACTTTGTAATAATAATAACTGTATTTTTATAAGTTCAAAAATCATAAATAAAATATTGAGAGATTCATAAAAATTCAAATAATAAAACTAAATAATTTCAATAATGAAATGAACACAATTAAATCATGGGAAAAGGATCCATATGGTTTAAGGAATCCAATTTGTAATAACGGGGAACTCTACCGTCAACTGTGGACTACAGACCACACTAGCTTTATTGAACCGACTCAGTATTTCCCATGACCCACAGTCTAAGCAGGGGCTCATTAACGGGTCACTAAAGTTAGGTCGATGAATCAATGGGTCGCAATCCCAGTCTGTGGATTACAGGTCCTCCCCTAGAGATGAGTCAAGGTCACAACGACCTGATGCGACTACAACTCTATGCGCATAGGGGTATCTCTCGCACATCCATACGCTTCAACCAAAGGTGGATATCTGGCTTTCTGGAACGATCTAGCAATATGCATACCATGTGATGACACATGGATGAGGCTTGACCCTCGTCTTTGTAGGCCCAACATCACACACAAGGATTACACAGTCCCTCGGCTCACTCATCCGGGCATGTTTTCTTCGACCTCATCAAGGGTTTATTCTTCATGCTTGGGTAACATGGGTTTTTCCTAACTGACTGACCTAGATAGTTAAGCACAGATCGGTATCAACAAACCAGCGTTTGCTTAGTATAGTCCACGAGGGACCACACTCCCACTGAGTTCATATTCTCCTATATCATTTCATTTTACAAGCACTCATAAGGCCTTTAAAGACTACATAAACCCAACACTAGAAAAGTGCAGAGAGAAAGGGATGTAGAGGAGATAGGGAGGGGGTATGAAAGTCCAATAGATGAGGAAGAAGACCAAAAAGCAGAATTTGAGGAACAAATGGAATGAGATAGGATTGCCAGTCTCCAATAACATAATTATAGACAAATAGAAATTTAAGAGATGTATAGAAGAAGGGATGGTGTATCCAATAGTCGTGAACCTCAAGGACATGTAGTACCAGGTAAGGGAGGATGTGAGCCTTCATTGCTTAGATCCACATATAGTAGATTGAGACGTAGTTTCTCTAATCGCCCATTCTCTTGTAGTCGGCCATCTACTACTCAACGACATGAACCCATAGATGTGCCAACAATGACCCGCAAACCCTCTAGACTTGATCCCCACAGGCCACAATATCATCAAAAATAAATAAACTTTTGTCAATAGGTGTATTAATAGAAAAGGCGAAAAAAATGATTAGCATGTTCTGATATGCTAATACACTACCATTTAATTTTACGAACTCAGACTTCTATCCACATATGGTAATTTCTATACCTGAGACAGTGCCAGGTGTTAGAGGTCCAACTGCGACGGAGTTTGCATGGTCATGTTTAGAAGCTGATGTTCATGATGCCGATAAGCATATTGTACAGTTCAAAGTCTGTTGGCCAAGTACAGGAGTGACCATCATGACTGATGGTTGGAAGGACAAGTCCCATAGGTATCTTGTCAACTTTTAAGTAGGTTGCCCTAGGGGTATTGTTTACCACTCTAGCATTGATTTATCAAGAAAGAGGCATACTGGGAGACTGATATGTACACACCTGGACAAAATTGTAGATGAGGTTGGTCATGAAAATGTGGTCCAATTAGTTATTGATAATGCTGAGAACTATAGAAAAGCAGGCTTGTTGCTAATGGAGAGAAGACCCAATCTTTATTGGATTCCTTGTGCTGCCCATTATGTTAATTTGATGCTCAAGGAAACAGGGAAGCTGAGGAGGGTTAAAACGTGTATTTTGAAGAGCAAGTTGATTACAAGGTTTATATATAATCACAAGTTCCTTCATGCTTTGATGAGGGAGCATTACATGCGAGAGATTGTTAGGGAGTCCACTACTAGGCTCGCTACAACGTTTCTTACGATACAATCGTTATTAATCAATAAGGCAGGATTGAGGTTAATGATATGCTCTAATGAATGGCAGACTGATAGGGCAGCAATGAGTCAACTTGGAAGGCAAGTTGAGATCACCCTTCTCGATCGAAGGTTTTGGGCTCGATGTAACAATGTTGTTTCTGTAAATGAACCTCTATTGCGAGTGTTGAGATTAAGTGACTTTGATGATAAACCCGCAATGGGGTTTATGTTCGATGCAATGAGACTCGCAAGGGAAGCTATAATTGAGAATAAAATATAGACGGAAGAGATATTGGAGATCGTTGATTGTAGGTGGAGAGACCAACTACATCGGGATATCCATGCAGCAGGTAATTTATGATTCATTATTGCAATTCATAATTCTTTTTGAACTCCGAGTAAAGTTACCGCAGTTAATAATATAACAAACCATGTGCAGGGTTTTTTCTTAATCTACAAAATTTGTACCCCAATGCCACTTTAGATGATGAAGATATCATGGAGGGGGTAAAAAACTACATCTATAGGCTTGAGCTTGATATTGAAACTCAGATGGAGTGTATGCAGCAGGTAAACCTTAATCAAAACGTGTCTGTAATAAAATTTCAATTTAGAATAATGAATTGCATTTCTATGTAGTACTAATTTCTTGTATACGCATGTTGTTATTTCTAGCTTATCATGTATATGGAAAAAAAAAGAGGAATTTGCATACAACAATGCCAAAAAAACAACTGAAAAATTGCACCCATGTCAGTTTTAAGTTAAAACTTACAATATTTTAGTACAATACTATTTGTGGTTTTTTTTAAAAAAATCAATTTCTTTTCTATTGTTAAGTAATTATATGTCTATCTGTGTCAGCACAATGGTGGACGATACATGGAATTCAAACAAAGCAATTACAAAAGATTGCAATTAGAATTTTGAGTCAAATATGTGCTGCCTCGGGTTGTGAGAGAAACTGGAGTACATTTCAGTGGATACACGCCCCGAGGAAGAATAGGTTAAAGACTCAGACATTGCACAACTTGGTATACGTTCATTACAATTTGAAATTGAGAGAGAGACATATAAGGAGGACTCCCACAGACTGCACGTCGATCAACCTTGATTACATCTTCTAGAGAGATCTCGCTGATGAGTGGGTATCACTAAGGACCCCACTACTAGATCAAGATTTTCTTAGTGGGGTAGTTGTGGATATGAATGATAATTTAGATGTTGCAACATCCAATGGAGGAGACATGGCAATGGACATGGATGACGATTTATACACAGGATGAAAATGAGACAGAGGATGATGAAGAGATAGATGGGACAATGAAAAACACCTGGCTAGAACCAGTCATCCAGGAATGTGAAGGGACACAACATCATGCAGTGTTTGATGAACAACAAGATTTAATGAGATTGATCGGGAGGAAGTCGAGGCATCAAGGCGTAAAAGTGACTCGACAAGGGAGAGACGAAGCCGTAGCCGTCATCGTAACTGGGTTATTCATGATGATAATAACATTGAAGCTGTTAAGGGCCATAACACAGAACAGGGTGGGAGTAACACAAAACAAGGGGGGGGAGAGCATGAAAGTTGGACGAATCTAGGAGATTTTGGCCAAGGGAGTATCACGAGAAATGTTCTTGATTGGCGATGGGGCACAACTGCGGCATTACAGACTCCTCCAAGCCGTACTCATATTTTTCGCCCTGTCAAACGTAATAGTGAAACACAACAATACCATGATCCCCCTCGCCACTCTCATTACTACTAACCATTGTTAGTTGGACTTTGTAATTTTATTAATTGAATTAATGTGAAATTATAAATTGTGTTGCATATTTCATAGTATTCAAATATTAAATTATATAAAAGTTGTTTTAATTTTTTTTTTATAGGATAAATGTATGTAATATAATAGTATACACTTAATATGAGTTTTTCTATTTTTTTTTATTTTTTTGGATTTCTTTTTACTTTTTTTTTTAATCCAGTCCGGTTAAACGCCTTGGTTAGTTCAATTCCGATTCAAACCGCTCTCAACCCCAAAACCAATTAATTATTCTAGTTCAATTTTACGAACACTCCGTAAAACATTGGGTTAGGGTGAAAGGGGGCCGGGGATTGGAAGGGAGTTCCGAAACTACTTATTGTGTGAGTGTGTGTGTGGAGAGAGAGAGAGAGAGAGAGAGAGAGAGAGTGAGTGGAGTCCATGAGTGCAAGCAAATTATGAAACGGAAAACCAAATTATAAAGGGGACTGCTCTCTCTCTAACAGCTACCAACTGAGCGGGTATCCCGTTAATGTCATATAAATGGTTTCTTTTTCATTCCCTGAGGAAGACTCCACCTCTCTTAAACAATTTCCCCTTCTTCTCTCCCTGCTATTCAAAATGTGCCAGTGACACATTACTCATGTCTTTCTCTTTCTCTCTCTAACCATTCTTTCCTCTCTAACCATTTTTATCAGCAACAATGATTTGCCATCATCATCACCATCATGATACATTCTCGTTCTCAAGCAACTTAATACCTAAGCGACTACAACCCCACAACCAAGAACTGCAACCTTCTCTCTCACATCAAATTTTAGCATCACAGACCCTAGATTCGTTCCTTGGGTTTCATGGAAGTGAGGGTGTTGAGGAGGAGCACAATGCTGCTTGTTTTGGGCCTGGTTCTGGTTTTGAGGGGGAGTATTGGGTTTGCGCAGACTGATAATTGCAATGGAGATCTTGGGGCCCTTTCTCTCCCCTTCAATGCTTCTGGTTTGGTGTGTAGCGCAGTGTGGAATACCTTCTTGCTAAGGGTATCTCTTTCTCTCTGCTTTTGTTGGTTGTGAAAGCTCGAAAACCACTACATTTTGTTAATAAGCTGAGAATGGAAACTTTCTAATGAATACCATATTTCTCAGTTAACTAGCAATGCATCAAATATTATCTTTTATTTTTTTTGGGTTTTCTATTTATTGATTGTGTAGTGGTGTGGCTGTAATGTATATTGAAAATACGTAAAGCGGCATGTTTATTCTGCATTATCAATCTTTGATCCTTTGTTGTAGGATGAGTGTTGGTGAGATGAGGATGTTGAGATGGATGAGTAGCAAGATAAAAAGATAGAATTCAAAAGGGATACATTTGGGAGAACTTAGGTGTGGTTTTAATAGGTGATAAAATGAGAGTAAGTAGATTGAAGTAGGCTGAAAGTAGGCTGGCAGCAGCGTTGATCTAGTACAATAAACCCACCCAATACAACACCTATTAGAAGGTACAAATTGGTTTAAGCAAAAGGCTAAACAAGAGCAAAAGGAAGCCCGAAAAGGACATCGTTTTAAGCATAATGACATATACCCTTGTTTAAGCATAATGACATATCAAGATTCGTGTAGCCGACCCATATAGTTGGAAAAAGGCTATGTTGATGATGATGATGATGATGATGATGGAATATACAGATCTCTTTTATGATATACATGCCATTTCAATCTGATTCTTTATTTATTTACGTTCTTTGTTGGTTTGTTTTGTTTTTTGGTCCTCGTTCATTTTCATCAATTTATACTTTTTTGACATTCATGGATCTTTGGTTCCTTTACTACAAAAGATATGTTATACATCTCTCTAATATTATGTACATCAAAGAGGCATCTGTGGGCGGTTATCTTAAAAGGTTGTATATTTATGAAATTTGGGATTTTGTACCAAAATATAAACTCTTAGTCATGATGTGTCCACAGCATTGTAATAAAAGTTTGCTGACATCAACATGATAACAATACATTATGCATTTCCAAAAAAACAAAATAAAAATAACAAATACATTATAAACACACATCTTTAATCTGCATTTCCAATGTGCTAACTTTGTGTAAGATCAAAGATATCTAATTTGTTATTTTTATATTAACAATTGTGTTGTCCTTTTGATCACTAATATGAAGTGTGTCGAAAAGCGACCAGCAATGACTGGTTCTTTGCCTCAAGTAAGCTTAGGTGCTTTATTTTACTCTATATGCTCCAAGAAAAACTGTTTGAATTTTCAAGCATATCTTCTCCTTTCATTTCCTGCCTTCTCCTTTCATTTCATCTTGTCTATATTGATAATCGAAGGTGGCCAAATCATGTGACTGGTAATTTGAATATTTTATCCATCTCTCGATGTTTAACATGACTTTAGTGTTAATCCATATTTCAAAATATTTGAATCTGGGATTAGGTAACATTGTTTGTTGGGATTCTCATTCATTTCGTCTCTTTGATGTCTTTTCTTGTTTAAGAACTAGACTCTGATATCTCTCTAGAGTCATCTTAGTAGATTACCCTTTTTACCCTTTAGGTGGTTATTCTCACTATATCTGGATTTGTTTTGTAGAACAAAACCTTGCTCAAAGTTTCCATCGTATTTCACTTTCATATTTGATATTTCTTATGGTCTAAGAAGGGTGATGACCTTAAACTTTCCCTTAAACCATCCCATGCCCGGTTAAAGGGGCTGGGTTGTGTTAGGTAGGCAGCCAACATAAAATTTTGCCAAAACTCTTCATGAATCTTGAAACTAGGCGGATCAGGATTCGTGTAGCCAACGCCAATTAATTGGGAAAGACTATGATGATGATGATTATTATTATTTGATATTATTCTTAACTATCAAAATAAAAGGGCAATATTAAATGTTATCCTTAAATCTTGGGGGGACTACCTATGTCATGCATTTTGACACTTTAGTCTCAAAGGTGCAGCTCAGCAATGCTTATGTGCATTTACTTCTTCTTGGATAAACTTGCATATAATGCTATTTATATATACTCTGTGTGCTTTTTTTAGGTTGAATCTGAAACAATTGTTATGTAGAATTGAGATCAAGATTTATGGTTGCAAGCTTTCTGATCTTGATCTTTTTTATTAAGGATAAATTATACAAGATCTACATCTTTTCAAGGCACCCATTGCTTCTAAACATTGAGATTATTCCACCTCTCTTGTATTGATTATTTCCCCTTTTCTGTTTCAGTATTCTCAGAGTCAAGACAATGTCTTGAGCATTGTACTCTCTGCAGAATATACCAATGGTTGGGTTAGTATAGGATTTTCAAAAGATGGACGGATGGTTGGTTCTAGTGCAATGGTGGGCTGGATTCGGAAAGGAGGCAAAGCAGCCATTAAACAATATTATCTTGGAGGTCAAGACCCATCCGAAGTCGTAGTGAACCAAGGCGAGCTGACACTCTCAGATATTACCCCTTCTGTGCTTCTTCGAGGAGCAACCATCTACTTAGCATTTCAATTGAAACTCACATCTCCTATTAAGAAACGGGCACTCATATTTGCTTTAGGAAGCAGGAACCCAGTTCATGAGAAGTTAACAATGCATGAAGACGAAACTACTGTGGCGTTCGACTTCTCCATGGGTTTGGTCCTTTGGCCTTCATCATTGGTGACATGCATGCGTGTAGTTTGCACTTTTACACATATTTGATGGCGCATATCTACTCGCGATGATGAATTCTTAACATGTATAGTGAATTCCTAGTAATAGTTATCATGTTTTGTTGTAACTCAATACATGCTCACCTTTTCTTTGTGCCATGATTAGTGAGATGCAGGAACATATGCATACATTTGCTTGAGTTGAATGAATGACTACTTGTATGTTGATTCTTAGTTTATGGTTATTGATGCTTCTTAGTAATCAAGATGTTTTCGCCTTTTTTTTGTATCATAATAGATGACAGCATGCACATGGTTTGCACGTTTATAGTGCGTAGTTGTTTTAGAAGATGAATACATGTCTACTTGTGATTCCCAGTTTTGATCATTTGTGCTTCTTAGTAATCAATGTTTATCCCTTTGTCTTGGACCTTGATCATGGGCATGGTAGCATCTAATAGGAAAGTAAGAGGTACTGCCGTTTTCTGTTACATTTTTAATATGGTTTTTTTGACTTTTCCTAGTTCTGGTATTTCTGTTTAAAATCTCAAAAGAAAATATTGGTCTACCAACTTAAGTATGAGGTAATCAATCTTTAGAACTCTTTTTTATTGTTTATCAGTAATCTTACGGAATGAACTTAGGGTTATTTGATCATTTTATGCACACATACATACTCTCATAGACATATTCCGAGGGTTGCTCTATTTCAAATCATATAACGAACTTCCCTTAAAAGAACCAGAGGGGATGGAGTCCAAACACTCAGCAACAGAATCTTAGTGGTACAATGATAAAGTTTGATGCACTCTAATAATGGTATAGAAAAATCCAGGTGGTGGTTTAGAAAAATCGAGGGAGAGAAGTCATATAAGATTTGCTGCATTGGTTTAACTTACTACCTCTGGTATTTCTGTTTATTCTCTCAAAAGTAAAATATTAGTCTACCTGCTTAGGTATAAGGTGATCATCCTTTAGGGCTCTTTTTTATTGTTCATCAGTTATCTTATGAAATGAACTTAGGGCTATTTTGATCATTTTATGCACACATACATACTCGCATGGACATATTCCGAGGGTTGCTCTATTTGAAATCATATAACCAACTTCCCTTAAAAGAACCAGAAGGGATGGAGTCCAAACACTCAACAGCCTGAATCTTAGTGGTACAATGATAAAGTTTGATGCACTCTGATAATGGTTTAGGAAAATCTAGGGGGTGGTTTAAGGAAATCAAGGTAGAGAAATCATATAAGATTTGGTGCATTGGTTGAACTAACTACTTTAACCCTGCTTGATTCTGGATACTGAGGATCAGTAAATCTCCTTTATCCTTTTGTTATCATCTTCCACGGCCATACAATTTCTCTATGCTATGCTAGATTTTATAATTGAGCCTTCGTTCTTTTTGAAAAGAAAAGGCCAAACTATATCTGAAAACTTAAAGAATTGGACACTGAATGTGTTTCATTGGCAACAATGGTGCTTATGCAACTTTAGAAATTTGAGAATTGTTTTTTAATAGGTACCTCGTCGGTATCATCTTCGTACCCGAGCCAATTGAAAAGGAATCATGGGTTACTGGGTATATTTGGATGGGGAATGATCTTGCCCATAGGGGCCATCATTGCGAGATATTGTAAGCAGTGGGACCCGCTTTGGTTTTATCTCCATTCTATACTTCAACTGGTGGGATTTGTTCTTGCTTTAGCAGGTTTGGTGGCTGGTGTTGCTCTATATAATCAGTTGAATGCTAATGTCGTAGTGCACAGAGGCTTGGGGATATTTGTCTTTGTTCTGGGTATTCTTCAGGTTGGTAAGCTTAGCATATCGTATTTTTGTTATATGTTTCTACAATAATTTTCATTGTATTTCTTTCACTGGGTTGGTTTTAGTTCAGTGTTTCAAACAAACTAGTTGGTAGCATGCGCATGATATGAAAATTTAATTTTTCTTTTTTTGTGGTTTTTTTTTTGTTGTTTGGGGGGGTGGGGTTGTTTAGAAAAATGAAAACACATTATAAATTGAAATATCCTGCATTATGAAAATATGAGAAACAGCAAAAAAAGAGGAAAAAGAAAAAAAAGACTACATGTGGGTTTAGTCATGGCTACACCACTCTAATGTTGAACTTTGAATTTCTTATTGCAAAATATTTTACAAAAATACCCTTATACATCTAAAATTTACATTAGCAATAACTCATTTAAAATTTTTGAGTAGGGATACATTCGTTATTCAAGAAGTTAAAGAAATCTTTGTAAACTTGAAGTTGATTTTGGAGGACTACAAAATACCCCTCGGGTTTCATGAAAAGACGTGGTAAAGTTTTATGTTGGCTGCCTACCTAACCCTACTCCTTTGTCCGGCCTTTGAAATTTTTTGAGAAGGGCATATTTGTAATATTAAATTGTTTCCAAAATTCAAAATTGGTTAACAAAGTCAAAGGAATCCTTTAAATTTTGAAATTGACTTTGGAGGGATTCTTAAATGACAAAAATAGCATCCCTAAAATATATTATCTAATTTTGGAGTAGGAAATTCTAAGTTCTTAGTGTGGCCTAAAATAACCCTTTAACTGTTACAAATAAATGGAATGGAATCCATAAAAAGGAAAATTAACAAAGAAAGAAAGAAAGAAAAATGAATAAATAAACTACAAACACTTTTTTGAAAGTTAACCTTTTATCAGTGGGCAAAAGTTTTTACAATTTCTGGTGAATACAAAATTGTACACCAATAATGTTTGTTATGTCATGTATGACATTCTGTTCAAGAAAAAAGTTGAGGTTAAGGTCCATTTGAGGTATATGGATTGGGTTAAAAGAAGGAAAATGAAATATTACAAAGAACAAATCTAACAGTCTGAAAAGGAAATATAGGGTTTGCAAGACGATATAAAGATAAATGAAACACAAAGAAGAAGAAAAGAGAGAGTTGGCGCATTGAAATAAATAAGATGTAAACATGAGGAAAGAGTAAAAAGTGACAAGGAAAAAAAGCGTAAACACATATAAAGGAAACCAAAAAGAAAGAGTGATTAATTCTCCTTTTTTTCCTAAATTTGAATTTTTATACGGAATTCTATGGGATAGTTTGCTTGCCTTTTCTATTTTTATTCGAGACCACTCTAATTTGGTTATTCCTATAATTTTTCTTTATCCCTTGCACCTTGATGTTAAACAGGGCTGCCATATTCTTTTGGTTCGTTTCCCATGCATGTTTAGGATTATTACCCCTTCAAAAGTTTTGGAGAATTTTTTTTTTTTTTTTGATAAAAGTGTAATCCTTCAAAAGTTTCTAGGCCCTTACCCTCTAGTACACTGAATTCTGACAATTTTCTAATCATCAATGCCTTAGGTGATGGCCTTCTTTATCAGGCCACAAAAAGAGGCAAAGGTTCGCAAGTATTGGAACTGGTATCACCACTGGTCTGGAAGGTTCGCCCTCTTTTTTGGGGCTGTGAATATTCTTCTTGGTATCCAAGTTGGGGGGGGTGAAAAGAGCTGGAAAGTTGGTTATGGAATCAATAGTGCCTTCATATTAATTACAGTCATTATTTTGGAGCTGATGAAGTGTCTCAAAGGGTCCACGAAACCAGATCCTAGTCCTGCCTTCCAAATGCACTCAACTCATGGTTAACCATGGATGCGAATTTCAGTTATTGTGAGGATAAAAGGTGAGGGGCATATTCTTATGTATTCATAGAATGAGAGCACTACCTCTCTTAAGCAGTGAATCGCATTTTAACTGACTTTGAGTGGAGGAACCCCAGGCATCATTTTTCACATCTGATGGCTTTGGAGGGTGTGATTTACTGTCCCAAGAATGTAGTGTTCTCATAGTAGATGATCCTTAAGTTTATTTGGTATACTCTAGTCCAATGGACTGTGGTGCATGGTATTCAGAGACTACATCCACTATTCATTCCCAGTGATGGATTGTTGAAGATTGATTCGAGTGTGCGTACATGGATATTCACGTGGGTGTCATTAATTGCTGAGCATCTTTAAAAGGGTATGCATGTATGCATGTTTGATGTACGTTGGAGTACCATGTACCATGTACCATGTACCATAGTCCTGGGCTGGTATACATACCCAGTTACTCCTACACTTTTATGTTCATTATTTTCTAACAATATGAAGATTTGGCAGGATACAGTGAGCTACTTATTTGATTCAAGTTTTTGTTGGAACTGGATGTAGATGGCGAGTTACTGATTTTGGCTTTTGAGGCTGTGGAAACTGCATTATTTTCCGGAGATGACTAAAATGCCCCGGCTGTGACTGAGAGGGCCCATGCCTTGATATTGTGGAATGGTGGATAAATCCTTAAGAATGTGGTGGCCATCCGAGAATGTAATTTATTTGGATTCATAAAGGAATGTGGGAGATGATTTCGAAGGCCATTCACTGGTGTTCATAGTTGAGAGTCCTTTTTATTCATTGTCGAAGTTTTGCTTTGTGAAGTTATCTAGTTTCATTGCCACCCTATCCACACTCAAAGAGAGACATTTATAGAAGTGTGTTCAGTTGTTCACACAATTTGTGAGTTACATGCCACAAGTCAGCGCTAATACTTGATGAATGCAATTTGCTCAATACAACTTCTATTTCAAATGTCTGTCCCTCTGCTTCTTTTTTATGATAAGTACTTCATACATAATATGACATTCATATAAGTTCATGGGTAGAGTTTAGGTGCATCCTAGATAGAGCTCATGAAGTGCATGCACCTCCAAAATCCAGGCTGGAGATGGACCAACGATCAAAATCTTCAAATGTATATCATATCGACCAGCATCATGATTGTGAATATGGAAAGTATAAATTCTGAGTTTAAAAATGGTCCATCTTGTATTCATTTTTTAAAACCATTCATTTAGTTCCTTTAAAGATCACCCAATTTATGCTATTTTTAGAGTCCCAGATATTCCTATGAAGTGTGTCATGCATCCACCTCCAAAATCCGTGTAGGAGATGGACTAAGGATCCAAAGTATCAAATGTATATCATCTCGACCAGCAGCATGATCATGATCATGGAAACGTAAATAACTTCTTAGTTTTAAAAATGCTCCGTCTTGTATTCATTTCTGTAGAGTTTAGAACATTCATTTAATTTCTTCAAAGATCACCCCATCTATGCTAATTTTTGGAGCTCCAAATTAATGGATCGAAGACAAAGATGGGTCTGCAGTGATATAGGATGTGTTTCAAAAACTAAAACCCCCGAAAACTAATGGGAACATATGCATTGGTTGACTCATCAAAATCCTTTTCCGTCTTAAAACTATAATGCACATACATGTGCAATGCGTCATCATTGTCGCCGTCAAAGTCTTTTTCCCAACTAATTCGGATAGGTTATACATGTGCAATGCATACAGACCTGAATATATACATATCATTGTCACTGAATGGTCATCTATTTTAGGGGTTTGTGCGTGTGTAATGCTCTGTTGTGCCATTATTGAGCACTGTAAAAGCATATTCCAAAACCTGTGGGCCTAAATTATCCTTGCCCTTAAAGTACAACTTAGTTTTGGACGGGTGTAATTGGTGTTGTTTTCAGGGGCAAAATGAGCAGTAGCTCTCCAGCGAGATGTTTTGGTTGGCTGAAATACATTCAAGGATTTAGCATCAACCTTGATGAAGCATTGAATGTGCGTTATGCGGAACAAAATGCCCCACATAAATGTATATATCTAAGATCTATATATTCAACATACACCATCCCATTCCAGTGAACGAATGTAAGTAAAATGCTCCACTTAAGTGAAGCATGAAAATCTACACATAAGTGTATATATCTAAGATCTATATATTCAAGATACGCCCATCCCATTCCAGTGAATGAATGTATGTAAAATGGTCCACTTAAATGAAGCATGAAAATCTACGAAATGTCATTGATCAGTTTGGTTAAGGAGAGGAACAGTTTAGCTGCAGTACAAGATTGTGCTCCATACAGCAGAGAAAAAGAGAGGTCGGGATCCCTTTCAATTTAGCAGCATTTTGCGTTGCTGCTGGAATGAGATTGAGTGTTTGCAAACCAACACCTCACTCGTAATGCGCAGGAATGCATTTTGGAAGCTTTCATAAATGAATTATTAGCTTTCAAACTTCAAAAATGACAAACTTTCTCAGAAGTGATTGTACTGAGGATGTAAGTTCAAAGACATTGCAGTAAGCTGTTCATACAAGGAACTCTGTCCATTGTGACCAGGACAAAGATACTTGAGCTGCCACCAAGGGACTGGGAAGTTCAAATCCAACCAAACACCTACCCAAACAAAAAGAACAAGAAAAATCAAAGAGCCTTCTCTTACCATTCAATGAATGCCTTGAACCTTCATTCAAGTGATTCAAAATCCATTCAATATGTTGAGAACTTTGAGTTGAGTTCCATCTGGAGGGTCCTACCAAGCTCCGTGATTGATCTCACTTGTTGAATCAATCGAAAGAGGCCACAGAACAAGCTATAGAATCAACTAAAACGACATGACCCGTTTCCTTTATCTTTTTATTTCTTTCTTTTTTTATTTTTTTGGGTGACATGTTAACAGTGGAATAGAGGGTGGAATGTTTATGTTGAGGCATCAGCCCCTGATCCATCGATGCTGGAACACTATTCCCCAGTTTTCTTTACGGTTTTTCCTCTAATTATTTATTAATTTTGCGAAGCATCAACTGCTCAAATGATTCCCAAGCCTTGGACCGCTCAACAGCTTTTCAAGGAGTAACTGAGCATGAGACTTAAATGAAGTAAAATAGAAGATAAAAGGAAATAAGGACAGAAGAAATGAAGCATCTGTGTTTGCAAAGGACATTAATAAAGCATTTTTATGTGATTAATTTTAATTCATATGTACTTATTAGAGATAATCACTGTGATTAATTTGTTGACTTTCCATTATTATTATTATATATTTTATTACACTGAATGCTTAAACAAAAACAACACTTTTCAAGAAGCTGGAGGTCCCCTGCATTTATTCATGTAAGAATTCCTTTGATGAAGTAATGAATTGTTATGTAGGAGTTCTATTTGATGAGAAATCACGCGCAAGATTTATTGTTTTTTTTTTTTGTAGTTCAGCAGTAAGAATCATGTAACACTGCTAAATGTCGGCAGTTAACCACTCAAACCCAAGCCAAAATTTCAAAATCAAGCACAAGACCTGATGTGAAAAGGAGACCTGATGTGAAAAGGAGAGAAACACATGCACGTTACAGTTGACATTGATTGCTAACTCACAGATTATCTCATGTAATTAGTTGGAAGTTCATTTAAACTTATGTGATATACTTTTCGCATGATCAATTTTTGGACATTTATTTTCTTCTTTTATTTGTTTTATTAATAGACAAATATCAACACCTATAACAAATATCACAAAAACTATTTCATAGATACTCTCTATAAAATAGGTCAAAATCTGATTTTACAAAACTTACAATTTAAACCACACAATATTCACTTGGGGACAAAGTTTACGTGACCATCTTAAATTGAGGGCTCCACCAAAAAATTAGCCTTAAATTATCCGGTCAGTCTTTTTCACTGATTTACTCAAAAAAAAAAAAAAAAAAAAAAAAAGGGTTAAGATTCAATACAATGATTAACTCTAATACTGCTTGCATTGACTACAACGATCATAATGATATGCGGCCATTAGATGTAAAATGGGATAGTTGGGAAGTTCTATTGATCATTCTAGTCTAATTAAATATTTTTATTGAACTTGGTAATGCACTTTTGGCAATCTGATTTAGCGTCTAATGGCTAAGAATATTAACTACCCTCTTTTGCCAAGGTAGATGGTCCTAATGTATACATCCCCAAAAAAAATAAACCATAGATACCTTACGGAAAGGACGCCATCACCAAAAAGCCTGTTGTCATATAGAACCACGACAATTTTGTCTTATTGAACTTAGGTCCAGATAAATATACGCGTGCCACAAGGGCCAAGTGGATTCGCAATATTCATTAAAACGAACCACTCCTTGGCTTATTCCCTGCCTCTAATGCTTCTCTTGTCGTTGCACGCCCCTATCTATTCTTGAACCTCTTTAGTGTATTGTTAATTATTTATCGTTCATAATAAATAATAAATATGTATTTTTTAATATATTTTTTACAAATTCAAATTATATGAAATTTAAAACATCTATTTTTCTCATCAAAGCTCATCTAATAAAAATATTAAAAAATAAATTGACTAAAATACCTCTAAAAGTTTCAAGTGATTAATTTTCAGTCGAATTAATTTTTTGATATTTTTATTAGATTCTTCTATTTTTAAAGAATAGACGTTCAAAATCTCAAGTGATTTGATTGGAAAAAAAATAAAAATAAAATACAAAGTACAATCGTGATCATTAGATCAGCATAGATTCAATCTAAATAATTGGCTGACCTCATATTCTCCCTATATATATATATATATATATAACCTATCCTTAAAAATAAATTGGAAACTCCAAGTTAGAGTGTTTCATTCACCCATCGCCTTTGTTTTGTCTCCTTCCGTGATCATAACATACATCTAAGTTCTCATGAGTCCTTGTCACTCTATGAAATAATTGATATGGTAATTAGTAATGCATTTATTGGAAGAGTAGTTAAAATGGGGTCAGGCAGGTTAATTTGTTTCTAGAACAAAGCAAGTCTTTAGTACGTGATTGATATTTCTGGTGTTTGGTGGGATGCGCAAAGACAAAAAGTCCCAAAAATGTTATTATAATAAATGACCTTCTTAGAGCCGCATCTTATTCGGAAGTTACAGTTTGGCGTTTTTGTTTGTCAGATTTTATTTTATAATTTAGCATAATTACCTTATTATAGGGTTGTAAAATAATGAGTTGCTCATTCTTTATTATTATTATTATCATTGAAAACGGCTAAAGGATCTTCTCCCCCGTTGATTTATCTAAAAGAGAAAAAACCTTCTTAGACCTTTGCAGGCAAAAAGAACTTACTTGAGAATGGAGTTAGTGCATAGGTGGTTAGGGGCGGTTGCCTCAACATAACGTCTCACCCTCCATTCCCACCATTAACATATAAAAAAATGGACAAAATGGAATTTACCCTACCCAAGCTTAGGCTCTTATTAAGTAATTGGAATACTCAACATTATCACTAATAAAGGATAAATTTAGCATATAGTTCAATAGCCAAGGTTATTAAGAAGTTTCTTCTGGGTAATTCCCTAAAGGGTGCAGTTTGCATACGGATGCATCCGTAGCTATAAACATAAGGGACACTTTCAAATTTTATCATGGTATATAATTTTGATGTAAAATGTTCTTAGGATTATCTCAAAATCAATTTTTATATCTAATTATAAAATTTTAAATTTAAAAAATGGTTAAAATCAAGTCGATCTATAAACATATGAAAATCTTGAAAATAGACGGTGTATATAATATGTTGTAAAATGTACTATTTCTTAGACTTAAAATATTTTTATTTTTCATAGTCATACATCTCGATGTCGAGATGATCAATCAAAAGGTTTTTCAACATTAAAACTACCT